GGAGTGGGAGTGGAGGGGGAGGGACTGGAAGGGGAGTGGGAGTGAATGGGAGGTCCTGGAAGGGGAGTGGGAGTGAATGGGGAGGGACTGGAAGGGGAGTGGGAGTGAATGGGAGGTCCTGGAAGGGGAGTGGGAGTGAATGGGGAGGTCCTGGAAGGGGAGTGGGAGTGAATGGGGAGGTCCTGGAAGGGGAGTGGGAGTGAATGGGGAGGTCCTGGAAGGGGAGTGGGAGTGAATGGGGAGGTCCTGGAAGGGGAGTGGGATTGAATGGGAGGTCCTGGAAGGGGAGTGGGAGTGAATGGGGAGGTCCTGGAAGGGGAGTGGGAGTCAATGGGAGGTCCTGGAAGGGGAGTGGGATTGAATGGGAGGTCCTGGAAGGGGAGTGGGAGTGAATGGGGAGGTCCTGGAAGGGGAGTGGGAGTGAATGGGAGGTCCTGGAAGGGGAGTGGGAGTGAATGGGGAGGTCCTGGAAGGGGAGTCGGATTGAATGGGAGGTCCTGGAAGGGGAGTGGGAGTGAATGGGGAGGTCCTGGAAGGGGAGTGGGATTGAATGGGGAGGTCCTGGAAGGGGAGTGGGAGTGAATGGGAGGTCCTGGAAGGGGAGTGGGAGTGAATGGGAGGTCCTGGAAGGGGAGTGGGATTGAATGGGGAGGGCCTGGAAGGGGAGTGGGATTGAATGGGAGGTCCTGGAAGGGGAGTGGGAGTGAATGGGGAGGTCCTGGAAGGGGAGTGGGATTGAATGGGGAGGTCCTGGAAGGGGAGTGGGAGTGAATGGGAGGTCCTGGAAGGGGAGTGGGAGTGAATGGGGAGGTCCTGGAAGGGGAGTGGGAGTGAATGGGAGGTCCTGGAAGGGGAGTGGGAGTGAATGGGAGGTCCTGGAAGGGGAGTGGGATTGAATGGGAGGTCCTGGAAGGGGAGTGGGAGTGAATGGGGAGGTCCTGGAAGGGAAATGGGGGGGGTGGAAAGGGCCTGGGAGGGGAGTGAGAGTTGAATGGAGAGGTCCTGGAAGGGGAGTGGGGATTGAATGGGGAGGTCCTGGAAGGGGAGTGGGAGAGGGGTGGGGAAGGTTCTGGAAGGAAAACAGGGATTGAATGGGAAGGGCCTGGAAGGGGAATGGGAGTGGGGTGGGAAGGGCCTGGAAGGGAAATGGGAGCTGAATGGGTGAAGGGTGAGTGGGGGGGGAGGTCCTGGAAGGGGAGTGGGAATTGAATGGGAAGGGCCTGGAAGGGAAATGGGAGGGGAGGGGAGGAAGGTCCTGGAAGGGGAGTGGGGGGGGGGAAAAGGATTGGGGAGGGAAATGGGAATGCAGGCAGGCAAATGGGAATTCCAGGCAGGGAAATGGGAGTGGGGGGGGGAGGTCCTGGAAGGGAAATGGTAGTGGGGTCGGGAGGTCCTGGAAGGGGAATGGAAGTGGGAAGTGAATGTGGAGGGAAATGGGGATGGGAGTGGAATGGGGAGGTCCTGGAAGGGGAATGGGAGTGGGTGTGAAGGGCCGGGAAGGGAAATGGGGATTGAATGGGGAGGTCCTGGAAGGGAAATGGGAGTGAGGTTGGAGTATCTGAAAGGGAACTGGGAATGGAAACAGATCATCCCAAAGGGAATCGGGAATGGGGTCAGGGTGTCCCAAAATGGAGGTGGATGGGGTCAAGGTGTCCCAAAATGGAATGGGGTCGGGGTGTCCCAAAATGGAATGGGGTCAGGGTGTCCCAAAATGGAGGTGGATGGGGTCAGGGTGTCCCAAAATGGAGGTGGATGGGGTCAGGGTGTCCCAAAATGGAGGTGGATGGGGTCAGGGTGTCCCAAAATGGAATGGGGTCAAGGTGTCCCAAAATGGGGGTGGATGGGGTCAGGGTGTCCCAAAATGGGGGTGGATGGGGTCAAGGTGTCCCAAAATGGAGGTGGATGGGGTCAGGGTGTCCCAAAATGGAGGTGGATGGGGTCAGGATGTCCCAAAATGGAGGTGGATGGGGTCAAGGTGTCCCAAAATGGAGGTGGATGGGGTCAGGGTGTCCCAAAATGGGGGTGGATGGGGTCAGGGTGTCCCAAAATGGGGGTGGATGGGGTCGGGGTGTCCCAAAATGGGGGTGGATGGGGTCAGGGTGTCCCAAAATGGAGCTGGATGGGGTCAGGGTGTCCCAAAATGGAGGTGGATGGGGTCAAGGTGTCCCAAAATGGAGGTGGATGGGGTCAGGGTGTCCCAAAATGGGGGTGGATGGGGTCAAGGTGTCCCAAAATGGAGCTGGATGGGGTCAGGATGTCCCAAAATGGAGGTGGATGGGGTCAAGGTGTCCCAAAATGGAGGTGGATGGGGTCAGGGTGTCCCAAAATGGGGGTGGATGGGGTCAGGGTGTCCCAAAATGGAGCTGGATGGGGTCGGGGTGTCCCAAAATGGGGGTGGATGGGGTCAGGGTGTCCCAAAATGGAGCTGGATGGGGTCAGGGTGTCCCATAATGGAGGTGGATGGGGTCAGGGTGTCCCAAAATGGAGGTGGATGGGGTCAGGGTGTCCCAAAATGGGGGTGGATGGGGTCAGGGTGTCCCAAAATGGAGCTGGATGGGGTCAGGGTGTCCCATAATGGAGGTGAATGGGGTCAGGGTGTCCCAAAATGGGGGTGGATGGGGTCGGGGTGTCCCAAAATGGAGGTGGATGGGGTCAAGGTGTCCCAAAATGGAGGTGGATGGGGTCGGGGTGTCCCAAAATGGAGGTGGATGGGGTCAGGGTGTCCCAAAATGGAGCTGGATGGGGTCAGGGTGTCCCAAAATGGAGCTGGATGGGGTCAGGGTGTCCCAAAATGGAGCTGGATGGGGTCGGGGTGTCCCAAAATGGAATGGGGTCAGGGTGTCCCAAAATGGAGCTGGATGGGGTCAGGGTGTCCCAAAATGGAGGTGGATGGGGTCAGGGTGTCCCAAAATGGAGGTGGATGGGGTCAGGGTGTCCCAAAATGGAGCTGGATGGGGTCAAGGTGTCCCAAAATGGAGGTGGATGGGGTCAGGGTGTCCCAAAATGGAGCTGGATGGGGTCAGGGTGTCCCAAAATGGAGGTGGATGGGGTCAGGGTGTCCCAAAATGGGGGTGGATGGGGTCAAGGTGTCCCAAAATGGAGGTGAATGGGGTCAGGGTGTCCCAAAATGGGGGTGGATGGGGTCAGGGTGTCCCAAAATGGGGGTGGATGGGGTCAAGGTGTCCCAAAATGGAGGTGGATGGGGTCGGGGTGTCCCAAAATGGAGGTGGATGGGGTCGGGGTGTCCCAAAATGGAGGTGGATGGGGTCAGGGTGTCCCAAAATGGAGGTGGATGGGGTCAGGGTGTCCCAAAATGGAGCTGGATGGGGTCAGGGTGTCCCAAAATGGAATGGGGTCAAGGTGTCCCAAAATGGGGGTGGATGGGGTCAGGGTGTCCCAAAATGGAATGGGGTCAGGGTGTCCCAAAATGGGGGTGGATGGGGTCAAGGTGTCCCAAAATGGAGGTGGATGGGGTCAGGGTGTCCCAAAATGGAGGTGGATGGGGTCAGGATGTCCCAAAATGGAGGTGGATGGGGTCAAGGTGTCCCAAAATGGAGGTGGATGGGGTCAGGGTGTCCCAAAATGGGGGTGGATGGGGTCAGGGTGTCCCAAAATGGAGCTGGATGGGGTCGGGGTGTCCCAAAATGGGGGTGGATGGGGTCAGGGTGTCCCAAAATGGAGCTGGATGGGGTCAGGGTGTCCCATAATGGAGGTGGATGGGGTCAGGGTGTCCCAAAATGGAGGTGGATGGGGTCAGGGTGTCCCAAAATGGGGGTGGATGGGGTCAGGGTGTCCCAAAATGGAGCTGGATGGGGTCAGGGTGTCCCAAAATGGAGCTGGATGGGGTCAGGGTGTCCCATAATGGAGGTGAATGGGGTCAGGGTGTCCCAAAATGGAGGTGGATGGGGTCAGGGTGTCCCAAAATGGGGGTGGATGGGGTCGGGGTGTCCCAAAATGGAGGTGGATGGGGTCAAGGTGTCCCAAAATGGAGGTGGATGGGGTCGGGGTGTCCCAAAATGGAGGTGGATGGGGTCAGGGTGTCCCAAAATGGAGCTGGATGGGGTCAGGGTGTCCCAAAATGGAGCTGGATGGGGTCAGGGTGTCCCAAAATGGAGGTGGATGGGGTCGGGGTGTCCCAAAATGGAGGTGGATGGGGTCAGGGTGTCCCAAAATGGAGCTGGATGGGGTCAGGGTGTCCCAAAATGGAATGGGGTCAGGGTGTCCCAAAATGGAGCTGGATGGGGTCAGGGTGTCCCAAAATGGAGGTGGATGGGGTCAGGGTGTCCCAAAATGGAGCTGGATGGGGTCAAGGTGTCCCAAAATGGAGGTGGATGGGGTCAGGGTGTCCCAAAATGGAGGTGGATGGGGTCAGGGTGTCCCAAAATGGAGGTGGATGGGGTCAGGGTGTCCCAAAATGGAGGTGGATGGGGTCAGGGTGTCCCAAAATGGGGGTGGATGGGGTCAAGGTGTCCCAAAATGGAGGTGAATGGGGTCAGGGTGTCCCAAAATGGGGGTGGATGGGGTCAGGGTGTCCCAAAATGGGGGTGGATGGGGTCAAGGTGTCCCAAAATGGAGGTGGATGGGGTCGGGGTGTCCCAAAATGGAGGTGGATGGGGTCGGGGTGTCCCAAAATGGAATGGGGTCAAGGTGTCCCAAAATGGAGCTGGATGGGGTCAGGGTGTCCCAAAATGGAGGTGGATGGGGTCAAGGTGTCCCAAAATGGAATGGGGTCGGGGTGTCCCAAAATGGAGCTGGATGGGGTCGGGGTGTCCCAAAATGGAATGGGGTCAGGGTGTCCCAAAATGGAGCTGGATGGGGTCAGGGTGTCCCAAAATGGAGGTGGATGGGGTCAGGGTGTCCCAAAATGGAGGTGGATGGGGTCGGGGTGTCCCAAAATGGAGGTGGATGGGGTCGGGGTGTCCCAAAATGGAGGTGGATGGGGTCAGGGTGTCCCAAAACGGATTTGGGATTGGGATCAGCACCTCCCCCCCCCCTTGCAGCCATTGAGACCCTGCTGTGTTACCTGGAGCTGCACCCGCAGCGCTGGCTGGAGCTGCTGCCCCACACTTATGGGGTTTGCACCGTGCGCTGCTATGGGGGGCCCCGAGAGCTGCGAGCTGCTGCACAGAGGTGGGATTGGGGGGGGGGGGGGGGGGGCAATGGGGTGGGGGACAAAATGGTGGCAATGGAGTGGGGGGAATGGGGACAAAAGGGTGGCAATGGGGACAAAATGATGGGGGTCAGGGAGATGGGAATGGGGACAAAAGGGTGGCGGTGGGGGGGAGGGGTGGGGGGAATGGGGACAAAAGGGTGACAATGGGGACAAAAGGGTGGCAATGGGGTGGAAGGAATGGGGACAAATGGTGGCAGTGGGGGGGGGGAGGTGGGAATGGGGACAAAATGGCGGCAGTGGGGTGCGGGGTGGGGGCAATGGGGACAAAATGGTGGCAATGGGGACAAAAGGGTGGCCATGGGGTGGACGGAATGGGGACAAATGGTGGCCTTGTGGTGGGGGAGGTGGGAATGGGGGGGAAATGGTGGCCATGGGGTGGAGGAGGTTGGAATGGAGACAAAATGGTGGCAGTGGGGTGGAGGGGGGGGGAATGGGGACAAAATGGCGGCAGTGGGGTGGGCGGTGGGGGGAATGGGGACAAGATGGTGGCAATGGGGACAAAATGATGGCGTTGGGGTAGGGGAGGTGTGAATGGGGACATAAGGGTGGCAATGGGGGGGGGGAATGGGGACAAATGGTGGCAGTGGGGTGGGGGTGGGGGGAATGGGGGCATAAGGGTGGGAATGGGGACAAAATGGTGGCAATGGGGTGGAGGTGGGACGTGGTGGGGGTTGGGATGACAATGGGGTGGAGATGGTGGCAGTGGGGACAAAATGGTGGCAGTGGGGTGGAGGTGGAGGGAATGGGGACAAAATGGTGGCAGTGGGGACAAAATGGTGGCAATGGGGACAAATCTTGGCGTTGGGGTGGAGGTGGGACATGGTGGGGGGTGGGATGAAAATGGGGGGGGTGGCAATGGGGACAAAATGGTGACAATGGGGTGGAGGTGATGGGAAGGGGGGGACAAAATGGTGGCCGTGGGGTGGGGGAGGTGACAATGGGGACAAGATGGTGGCAATGGGGGCAAAAGGGTGGCGTTGGGGTGGGGGAGGTGGGAATGGGGGGGAAATGGTGGCAATGGGGACAAAAGGGTGGCAATGGGGTGGACGGAATGGGGACAAGATGGTGGCAATGGGGACAAAAGGGTGGCAATGGGGTGGACGGAATGGGGACAAGATGGTGGCCTTGGGGTGGAGGTGGGACGTGGTGGGGGTTGGGATGACAATGGGGTGGAGATGGTGGCAGTGGGGACAAAATGGTGGCAATGGGGACAAAATGGTGGCATTGGGGTGGGGGGTGGGGGGAATGGGGACAAGATGGTGGGAATGGGGACAAAAGGGTGGCAATGGGGTAGAAGGAATGGGGACAAAATGGTGGCATTGGGGTGGGGGAGGTGGGAATGGGGGGGAAATGGTGGTCATGGGGCGGAGGAGGTTGGAATGGGGACAAAATGGCGGCAGTGGGGTGGGGGGTGGGGGGAATGGGGACAAAATGGTGGCAATGGGGACAAAAGGGTGGCATTGGGGTGGGGGTGGAGGGAATGGGGACAAATGGTGGCAGTGGGGACAAAATGGTGGCCGTGGGGTGGGGGAGGTGGCAATGGGGACAAGATGGTGGCAATGGGGACAAAAGGGTGGCGTTGGGATGGGGGTGGAGGGAATGGGGACAAAATGGTGGCAGTGGGGTGGAGGTGGAGGGAATGGGGACAAAATGGTGGCAGTGGGGACAAATGGTGGCCATGGGGTGGGGGTGGTGGCATGGGAACAAAGTGGATCCCATTGTGGGGTTGTGGAGCCGCGCTGGAGGGGTTCGATCCCGTTTTTGAGAGTTCGGATCCCGTTTTGGGGCTTCTGACCCCAGTTGGGGGAGATCTGGGCCCATGTTGGGGCTTCTGGGCCCATTCTGGTGCTTCTGGTCCCATTTTTGGTGCTTCTGGTCCCATTTTGGGGCATTCTGGTCCCATTTTTGGTTCTGGTCCCATTTGGATCCGTTCTGACCCCACTTTGATGCGTTCTGACCTCATTTTTCTTCTTCTGACCCCATTTTGATGCAATCTGACCCCATTTTGGTGCTTCTGACCCCACTTTGATGCGTTCTGACCCCATTTTTGGTTCTTCTGACCCCATTTTGATGCATTCTGACCCCGTTTTTTGTGCATTCTGACCCCATTTTGATGCAATCTGACCCCATTTTGGTGTGTTTTCTCCCCATTTTTGGGTTTCTGACCCCACTTTGATGCATTCTGACCCCATTTTGATGCATTCTGACCCCATTTGGGTGCATTCTGACCCCATTTTGTTCCGTTCTGACCCCATTTTGGGGCGTTCTGACCTCATTTTTTGTTCTTCTGACCCCATTTTGATCCATTCTGACCCCATTTTGATGCATTCTGACCCCATTTTGTTCCGTTCTGACCCAATTTTGATGCATTCTGACCCCATTTTTGGTGCTTCTGACCCCATTTTGATGCATTCTGACCCCGTTTTTTGTGCATTCTGACCCCATTTTGTTGAGTTCTGACCCCATTTTGGTGTGTTTTCTCCCCATTTTTGGGTTTATGACCCCATTTTGATGCATTCTGACCCCATTTTGGTGCTTCTGACCCCATTTGGGTGCATTCTGACCCCATTTTGATCCGTTCTGACCCAATTTTGATGCGTTCTGACCCCATTTTTGGTTCTTCTGACCCCATTTTGATGCATTCTGACCCCGTTTTTTGTGCATTCTGACCCCATTTTGATGCATTCTGACCCCATTTAGTTCCGTTCTGACCCCGTTTTGGTGCATTCTGACCCCATTTTGTTGAGTTCTGACCCCATTTTTGGTGTGTTTTGACCCCATTTTTGGGTTTCTGACCCCATTTTGATCCATTCTGACCCCATTTTGATGCATTCTGACCCCATTTTGGTGCTTCTGACCCCACTTCGATGCATTCTGACCCCATTTTGATGCATTCTGACCCCATTTGGGTGCATTCTGACCCCACTTTGGTGCAATCTGACCCCATTTTGTTCTGTTCTGACCCCACTTTGATGCGTTCTGACCCCATTTAGTTCCGTTCTGACCCCATTTTGATCCATTCTGACCCCATTTTGTTGAGTTCTGACCTCATTTTTGGTGTGTTTTGACCCCATTTTTGGGCTTCTGACCCCATTTTGATCCGTTCTGACCCCGTTTTTGGTTCTTCTGACCCCATTTTGATGCGTTCTGACCCCGTTTTTTGTGCATTCTGACCCCATTTTGGTGCGTTCTGCTCCCAGTTTGATGCATTCTGACCCCATTTTGATGCGTTCTGATGCCATTTTGATGCATTCTGACCTCATTTTTTGTTCTTCTGCCCCCATTTTGATGCATTCTGACCCCATTTTGATCCGTTCTGACCCCATTTTGTTCTGTTCTGACCCCATTTGGGTGCATTCTGACCCCATTTTGATCCATTCTGACCCCATTTAGTTCCGTTCTGACCCCGTTTTGGTGCATTCTGACCCCATTTTGTTGAGTTCTGACCCCATTTTTGGTGTGTTTTGACCCCATTTTTGGGTTTCTGACCCCATTTTGATCCATTCTGCCCCCATTTTGATGCGTTCTGACCCCATTTTTGGTTCTTCTGACCCCATTTTGATGCGTTCTGACCCCATTTTGTTCTGCCCCCATTTTGATGCGTTCTGCCCCCATTTTGATGCATTCTGCCCCCATTTTCATGCGTTCTGCCCCCATTTTGATGCATTCTGCCCCCATTTTCATGCGTTCTGCCCCCATTTTGATGCGTTCTGCCCCCATTTTGATGCGTTCTGCCCCCATTTTGTTCCGTTCTGCCCCCATTTTGTTCCGTTCTGCCCCATTTTGTTCTGCCCCCATTTTGGTCTTTCCACTCCCATTTCGCCCACCTGACCCCATTCCCCCCCCTTTCCAGCTGCCCCCCGCTGGCCGTGGCTTTGGCTCTCAGGCGCCTCAACTCCGCTGCCCCCCCGGATTCCTGCAGCCTTCGCTTCGACGTCGTCGCCCTCAGCGACGCCATGGGCTGGGAGCTGCCTTTGGTCAAAAGGGCCCTGAGGCAGCTGCACAGCGAGCGGCACCCTGGCACGGCGGGTGGGTGGCACCCATGGGGGGCAGCAGTGGGTGGCAGGGATGGGTGACAGCCATGGGTGACAGCCATGGGTGACAGCAGTGGGTGGCAGCGATGGGTGACACCAATAGGGGACATCAATGGGTGACAGCGATGGGTGACAGGGATGGGTGACAGCGATGGGTGACAGGGGTGGGTGGCAGCAGTGGGTGGCAGCGATGGGTGGCAGCGATGGGTGGCAGGGATGGGTGGCAGCGATGGGTGACAGCAGTGGGTGACAGCAGTGGGTGGCAGCGATGGGTGACAGCAGTGGGTGACAGCAATGGGTGATAGCAATGGGTGGCAGCGATGGGTGACAGCGATGGGTGACAGCGATGGGTGGCATCACTGGGGGTCGCTGTTCGCTGTCCCCCGCAGTGCTGCGGCCGTGTGACCCTCTGACCTGCTGTCCCCTCTGTCCCCTCCGTCCCCGCTGTCCCCTCTGTCCCCTCCATCCCCTCCGTCCCCTCCATCCCCGCTGTCCCCTCTGTCCCCTCCGTCCCCTCCGTCCCCTCCGTCCCCTCCGTCCCCTCCGTCCCCTCCATCCCCTCCATCCCCTCCGTCCCCTCTGTCCCCTCCATCCCCTCCGTCCCCTCCATCCCCGCTGTCCCCTCTGTCCCCTCCGTCCCCTCCGTCCCCTCCATCCCCTCTGTCCCTTCTGTCCCCTCCATCCCCTCCATCCCCTCCGTCCCCTCCGTCCCCTCCGTCCCCTCCGTCCCCTCCGTCCCCTCCGTCCCCTCTGTCCCCTCCATCCCCTCCATCCCCTCCGTCCCCTCCGTCCCCTCCGTCCCCTCTGTCCCCTCCGTCCCCTCCGTCCCCTCCGTCCCCTCCGTCCCCTCCGTCCCCTCTGTCCCCTCTGTCCCCTCCATCCCCTCCATCCCCTCCGTCCCCTCTGTCCCCGCAGCCCCGTCCCCTCGCGGCGCCGTTTCGGTTCAGTTCTCGGAGCTCTGCTTCCACCTGCGCTCCTTCGGGGATCTGAGCCACGCCGAGCTGGACGCCGTCTGCCACTTCCTGCAGCGCCGCCTGGAGGAACGACAGCAGGGGGCGCTGCGGCAGCTCCGAGCCTGCAGGGCGGCTTTCCGCAGGTGGGCAGCGGGAGCGCAGGGCGTTCAGGGGGGGGGGGGGGCGGTTTGGGGTCCCAATGTCCCCCATTTGGGGTCCCAATGTCCCCTATTTGGGGTCCCACTGTCCCTCATTTGGGGTCCCAATGTCCCTCATTTGGGGTCCCAATGTCCCCCATTTGGGGTCCCAATGTCCCTCATTTGGGGTCCCAATGTCCCCCATTTGGGGTCCCAATGTCCCTCATTTGGGGTCCCAACGTCCCTCATTTGGGGTCCCAATGTCCCTCATTTGGGGTCCCAATGTCCCCCATTTGGGGTCCCACTGTCCCTCATTTGGGGTCCCAATGTCCCCCATTTGGGGTCCCAATGTCCCTCATTTGGGGTCCCAATGTCCCCCATTTGGGGTCCCAATGTCCCCCATTTGGGGTCCCAATGTCCCTCATTTGGGGTCCCAATGTCCCCTATTTGGGGTCCCAATGTCCCCCATTTGGGGTCCCAATGTCCCTCATTTGGGGTCCCAATGTCCTCTATTTGGGGTCCCAATGTCCTCTATTTGGGGTCCCAATGTCCCCCATTTGGGGTCCCAATGTCCCCTATTTGGGGTCCCAATGTCCTC